GGGGTCACGAAAGGTGTCCCCTGGGCTCCCCTTTCTCCCCCCAACCCCGGGCGCCACACGCCGCATCTCTTACGTTCACAGTGACATTCTCCCAGGACAAAGGTGGGACAAGTGGCTGGCAGGAACCCCAGCCCGGTGCCTGCCAGCAGAGCACCGCCTCGGCGGATAGCGAGCACGGCGCATCCAGCCGCCAGCTCTGCGAAGGTAGCAGCTGAAGCTGGGCGGCACGCCAGAGGTTCCGGTGTGCGCGGGGGTCTGCAGGGAGAGGGTGCGGGTCACCGTGAGCCACGCACCCACCGACCCCGGCCTCCGGCCTGTTCACTCACCATCTTTGAAGGGGCAGATGCTTGTCCTGACGGAGTCGGGCTCCAGGGGCCACACCTGAAAAGGAAACAGGGCTCGGCTCAGGTCAGCTCAACCTAGCCAACCCTGCATGAGTATGTGCCAGGCCCTCTGCTAAGCACTGGGGACGCATTCATTCAGCCGGTATTTCACAAGGGTCTCCTCGCCTTTTACAAAGCCCTAGAGAGGCACACATATATTCTTCCAGCAAACACTATTCCGAACACTGGCAACATCTTATCTTGACAAATTTTTAATAAGTGCCCACTATGCGTCTTAGCAGTATGGTAGGAACAGGGGACATTTGGTAATTAATTTCAATTCATTCCACAGTCATTTTGTGAGCACCTACTATGTGCTGTTTCAGACACTAAAGACATATTCACTTAATCTTTCAATAGACCTTTTTTGTTTATTTTTTGCTTCTTTGTTCGCTTGATCCCAACCCTTGACCTTGGTATTACAAGGTTGAGCTCTAACCAAATGATCTAACTAGCCCCCCTCGATAGACTTTTTTTTTTTTTTTTGTCCTTTTTGAGACCAGCCACACCGCGCTCAGCCAGTGAGCACACCGGCCATCCCTATATAGGATCAGAACCCGCGGTGGGAGCGCTGCTGCGCTCCCAGCGCCACACTCACCTGAGTGTGCCACGGGCTCGGCCCCCTCGATAGACTTTTTAAGAGCACCTATTATGTGATTAGCCCTGTGTTAAGCACTCTAGATAATTTAACTTATTCATCAAACCTTTCATTATTTATTTATTTTTTTGGTGGCTGGCCGGTACAGAGATCTGAACCCTTGACCTTGGTGTTATACAGCCACTCTCTAACCAACTGAGCTAACCAACCAGCCCAAACCTTTATTTAAGAGCACCTACTATGTAGCAGGCATTGTGCTTCATCTCAGGGACATTTATTTTTTTATTTTATTTTTAAATTTTTTTTGAAAAGATGACCAGTAAGGGGATCTTAACCCTTGACTTGGTGTTGTTAGCAACACTCTCTTCCAAGTGAGCTAACCGGCCATTCCTATATAGGGATCCGAACCTGTGGCCTTGGTGTTATCAGCACCACACTTTCCCAAATGAGCTACAGGCTGGCCCTCAAGGACATTTAAATCACAGCAAATATTTCATGAACATCTGCTATGTATTCTATTGCTGTACTAGGCAGTAGAGATTCATTCACTCATTCAGCAATTAGCACCCACTGTATGCCAGACACTGTGCAAGGCTCTGGCAAAGTCATTACACTTGAATTATATATGATTTACTTGCCTTCAAGAAAGTCATAAACTTAGGGCCAGCCAGTGGCTCACTCGGGAGAGTGTGCTGGTGATAATACTAAGGCCACGGGTTTGGACCCTATATAGGGATGGCTGGTTGGCTCACTGGCTGAGCGTGGTGCTGACCACACCAAGCCAAGGGTTAAAATCCCCTTACCGGTCATCTTTTGAAAAAAAAAAAAAAGAAACAAACTCACAGTTATAGTAAGGATAAAAACATATATATAAATTAGTAAATCAATCACTTTTCAGAAATATTTATTGAGCATCTGTTGTGTGCAAGAAGAAATTAGATGTCCAAATAAGAAAGGAAGTGGTAAATGGACAAGGAAGGACAGAAGTACAAGGGGACCTGGAGCTAGGAGAGGCCAGGTGGTTAGGGAAAAGCTTTGAGAAAGAGATAACATATGAACTGGGAGGATTTGGTTGTATGGAAAAGGGGTGAGGGCATTTCAGGTAGTAGAAATGGCCTGAGCAAAGGCAGAGAGGTGGGTGTATCTTGATTAGTAGCTCTGTTGGATGTAACAAAGTCCCATGAAGGGAAATCGTGGGGAAAATATAGTGAAAAACGTGCAGCTGGGGGCAGACTATGGAGCCCAGAATGCCAAGGAGGTGGGGCTGGAGGTTACTGAAACAGTCTAAAGGAGAGATGATAGAGACCCAAACTGGACTGAAATGGAGAGGAGGGGGAAAGAGAATGAGAGACATTAGTGTCAGAGGTAAAATGAATGAGACTTGATGACCAATTAAATGTACAATAAGAGGGAGAGGAAAGAGCCAACATGTTTTAGCTTGGATGTGGCACACTTCCCTATAACAGCCCTATGAGGCTGGAACTATTATTATTCCCATTTTATAGATAGTAAACGGGCTCAGACAAGTAAAGTGACTTGCCCAAGGTCACACAGCTAAAAAATGGCAAGATCCAGGATTCAAACCAATCTGAGTCCACAGCACATGCTCTGCCCTCCAGGGGAGAACAGAGAGGGAATTGGAGGAGTAGAGGAAGTCTTCAAGGAAGAGGTGACATCTACATGGGGCTATGAAGCATAAGTAGGAGTCCTGTGGATGGAAGATCAGGAAGAGGTAGAAGGCACAGGACAGCAAAGGTCAAGAGAGGGCCAGCCACCACAGGGAGCCATGGGCTCTACCTCAAAGAGGAGTGTGGATGGTGGTGAGACCAGGAAGGTGGGGACCGCCTCCCTCTTAATCTCCCCAATTCCCTGGCACCCAGTTGGACTCTGCACCTACCTGAATACAGAGGCAGGGAACTAGGTCTGTGAAGTTCAAGGTAATAGTCTGTGGCCCAGTCTGTGGAACAAGCAGAAAGAGGGAAGTTGGAGAAGACAAGGAAAAGGTAGAAAGGGAGAGCAAAGTCGAGGACCTGAGGCAGGCAGAAGTTCCCCCACCAATGTCCCCTGGCTTTGGGTATGTCCTCTTCCAAGATCCCCTTTTTTTTCTTTTTTTTCTTTTTTTTTTTTAAAGATGACCGGTAAGGGGATCTTAACCCTTGACTTGGTGTTGTCATCACCACGCTCAGCCAGTGAGCTAACCGGCCATCCCTATATGGGATCCGAACCCGGGGCCTTGGTGTTATCAGCACCTCACTCTACCGAGTGAGCCATGGGCCGGCCCCCAAGATCCCCTTTGATAATGCATGCGCACCCTCAGCATAGGCATTAGCCTCAAGTGAGAATGGACTTGGGGAGAGGGAGTCCTCACCAGGTTTTTGTGCCACCAGGGTTTTGGGGGGCCCTGGACCTGATTCCAGTACAGGGAAAGGCCAAAGTGCTGTTCCTCAGAGACATCCAGAACCAAGCGCACATTGTCACCATCTGCAGACATGTTGAGCCAGGGCAGGGCTGGTGGGAGAAGTAGAGAGAAAGAGGACAGCTTAGACTTCCTTCACCTCTTCTGCACACTCAAGCCTGGGCCAGACCCACCAAATGACCCTTTGTTGTTTCCTTAAAAATCCTTAGACTGGGGGCCGGCCTGTGGCTCACTCGGGAGAGTGCGGTGCTGATAACACCAAGGCCCCGGGTTCGGATCCCATATAGGGATGGCCGGTTCGCTCACTGGCTGAGCGTGGTGCTGACAACACCAAGTCAAGGGTTAAGATCCCCTTACCGGTCATCTTTAAAAAAAAAAAAAATCCTTAGACTGGGGGCCGGCCTGTGGCTCACTCGGGAGAGTGCGGTGCTGATAACACCAAGGCCCCGGGTTCGGATCCCATATAGGGATGGCCGGTTCGCTCACTGGCTGAGCGTGGTGCTGACAACACCAAGTCAAGGGTTAAGATCCCCTTACCGGTCATCTTTAAAAAAAAAAAAAATCCTTAGACTGGGGGCCGGCCTGTGGCTCACTCGGGAGAGTGCGGTGCTGATAACACCAAGGCCCCGGGTTCGGATCCCATATAGGGATGGCCGGTTCGCTCACTGGCTGAGCGTGGTGCTGACAACACCAAGTCAAGGGTTAAGATCCCCTTACCGGTCATCTTTAAAAAAAAAAAAAATCCTTAGACTGGGGGCCGGCCTGTGGCTCACTCGGGAGAGTGCGGTGCTGATAACACCAAGGCCCCGGGTTCGGATCCCATATAGGGATGGCCGGTTCGCTCACTGGCTGAGCGTGGTGCTGACAACACCAAGTCAAGGGTTAAGATCCCCTTACCGGTCATCTTTAAAAAAAAAAAAAATCCTTAGACTGGGGGCCGGCCTGTGGCTCACTCGGGAGAGTGTGGTGCTGATAACACCAAGGCCACGGGTTCAGATCCCTATATAGGGATGGCCGGGTAACTCACTGGGTGAGTGTGGTGCTGACTTCACCAAGCCAAGGGTTAAGATCCCTTTACCGGTCATTTTTTAAAAATAAAAATAAAAAATAAATAAAACAAATCTTTCTCCTCTGGTCAGAACCCTCTGATGGCCCCCATATTACTCCCAGTAAAAGCTAGAGTCCCTACATTAACCTGCAAGGCCCTACCAAATCTGGCCATTGTGACCTCTCTAACCTAATCTCCTAGTACTAGTGTCCTTAATTACTCTGCTGCAGACAACATTGGTCACCTTACTATTATTTAAACACACCCAACACACCCCTGCCCCAGGCCCTTTGCACTGCCTATTTCCTCTATTCTCGGATACTCACATGGCTCCTCCCTCACTTCCTTCAGGTCCTGGCTCACCAGTGAGGCCATCCCTGACTGCTGCAACTCTCAACCTTCCTATTCCCCTTCCCCAGATTTTCTCCATAGCTTTCGTCACCACTTCACTTACTGTATGCTTCACATCTCCATGTGTTTATTGTATCCTTCCTGAACCCCACCCAAGCCTCAACTCCCAGCTCCATGAAGGCAGGGATTTTTGTCAGTTTTGTTTATTGATTTATCGCCAATGTCTAGGGCTGTACCTGGTACAGAGTATTTGTTCAATAAATATCTGTTGAATAAGTAAAGCAATGTGGTTTTTATTTTTGTTTTTTTTTAAAGATGACCGGTAAGAGGATCTTAACCCTTGACTTGGTGTTGTCAGCACCACGCTCTCCCAAGTGAGCCACGGGCTGGCCCTAAGCAATGTTTACTGAATAAATGAAGAAATGGAATGCATGATGTATATCTGTGTTTTCAAAACTCTGGTGCTGAGTAGTCTTTCATAGATTGCCAAGAAAGCAGGCCGAGTTTATGTTTAAAGAACCCAAAAGAAAATGAGGTTGAAAAAATTTAATAGTTCAAAAAAAAATCAGTGTTTATATCTTTTTTTTTTTTTTTCTTTTTAAAAGATGACCACTTGGGGCCGGCCCGTGGCTCACTCTGAAGAGTGCGGTGCTGATAACACCAAGGCCCCGGGTTCGGATCCCATATAGGGATGGCCGGTTCGCTCACTGGCTGAGCGTGGTGCTGACAACACCAAGTCAAGGGTTAAGATCCCCTTACCGGTCATCTTTTTTTTCTCACTCTCCTGAGTGAGCCACTGCCAGCCCCACAGTGTTTATATATTGATCTTGGTGCTAATTATGCAAGTATATACATATGTAAAAACTAACACAACTGGGGCTGGCCTGTTAGCTCAGTTGGTTGGAGCGTAGTGCTGATAACACCAAGGTCCAGGGTTCAATCCCTTTACTGGCCAGCTGACCAAAAATGTCCAAAAATTAAACAATTGAACTGGACATTAAAATTAATGCACTTTATACACTTTTCTGTGTATGTTATTCACAACAAAAAAGAAAATACAAAACAAAGAATGAACAAAACAGAAAAAATAAGAACCTTGATTTTCTTAGCCGATTTTAAAATTTAATATTTTAAAAATTTTGCTGTGTAGAAGGGGGCACCAAAAACTTGACAATGCCTTGGTCTGCTAGAAGTTCCTGGTTACTAATAGATATTTATTATAAGGAGTGAGAGATTCATCTCTATATTCCCAGTGTCTGGCACAGAGTAGCAGCTACTGCACTTCATGTGCTATGGATGGATGGAAGAATGAATGAATGTGTTCTATGAGCTTCCAGGTTGTGTCAGCCCAGATCTGAAGCTGGTTCCAAGGGTCCCTCACACTCCAGACCTTGCCCTCCCTCTTCCCAGCCCACTGACCCTAGCCCCTACCCCAGCAGCTCTGGATGCTGTCCCGGACTTCGAGCCCCCTGCAGTCTGAGGAGAGATCACAGAAAAGCCTCCAGTGGGGCTGGAGGCCAAGGAAAGAAGAGGGGAAATCCAACCGGGGGCGAGGGGGCACTGGGGAGGAATCCCTGTCCCCAAATACCACCCACATCTATCCAGTGCACAAAGCCCCTTCTCCAATGGCTGGAAAGCCATGTCACCTTGGGAGAAGAGGCCCAAGGGACTGACTCTCAGGAGTATGTAAGCTCAGACCCCTGCCTGAGAGTTAACAGGACAAGGAAGAGGGTGAATGCAGGAGGGAAGTGGCGAGAGGGGACAGACACTAGGGAGGCCAGGACTTAGGGGCCCTGAGGCTCTAGGGCCACTCACCAGGCAGCTGCTGTGTGATGTTGAGTTCCTTCTGGTACCTGGGCTGCGTGTAGGACCAGATTCGCACCTCACTGCCCAGAGCAGCCTCGAAGCAGTCGTATACTACAGAGCCCTGTGAGAAGAGCGGTGGGGCAAGGTGGTGCCGGAAGGCTCAGAATCCAGGCCAAGGGCTGTGGGCTTCTCTGCGTGGACCACTCTGTGCACCACCCTTCTTCCGCAACCAATGAGTGTATTTTTACTACCATTAAAATTTCCTTCAAGGGTCCTCCATTCTAAAGTAAACATCCTCAGGAAGGGTGTCAGCAGGGCAGGAATAGGCCCCAGCTTTTTGAGCCCTTGCCCCTACCTCTGCTGTCCTGGATCACCTGGCCAAATCTAAGGGGATAAGACACCCCAACACAAATGTGGAACACCCCTCCCTACAGAAATGGTTTTTAGGGCCGGCCTGTGGCTCACTCGGGAGAGTGTGGTGCTGATAACACCAAGGCCATGGGTTCGGATCCTATATAGGGATGGCCGGTTCGCTCACTGGCTGAGCGTGGTGCTGACAACACCAAGCTAAGGGTTGAGATCCCCTTACCGGTCATTTTTAAAAAAAAAAAAAAAAAAAAAAAAAAAAAGAAATGGTTTTTACTCCCAGTGCCTCAGTGGTCCTCACGATTGCCTTGTAGGGTGAGCCAAGCAGATGTTCTCCTAGTTTACAATTTTCCAGATAAGAGAATATTGGCTGTGGGCTGGTGGCTGGAGGAGAAGTCAAGGGTTGAGTGATTTGACTCCAACTACATGTGGCCTCCTGAGGCAGGGAGAAGCCCCAATAGCCTGCACCATGGTGAATACCAAGTATGATAGGAAGAACACTAGTCCAAGAGTCCAGAGAAGTGAATTCAGCCCACAGACTGCTCCTCTCCAAGCCTCAACTTTCTCTATCTGAAAAATGAGGGAAAACTATTGCCTAGTTCATGGGGTAGTTTTGAGGATTGTAAAAGAAAGGAAAAATTAAATTTATTGAGACCCTTTGGCACTGGGCATTACACCAGGTGTTTTACAGGTATCAACTTATTTAGTTCTCAGAACAGCCAAATGAGGTAGGACTATTCTTTTTTTTTTTTTTTTTTTTTAGGTGGTCAAAAAACTTTAACAGACATTTCACAAAGGAAGTTACACAAATAGCCAATGACAAACCAGCCAGCCATCCCCCCAAAAAAGATGCAAATAGCCAATGAGCATGTGAAAAAGCACTCAATTTCATCAGTCATCAAGGATGTATGATTAAAACTATGATGATAAACCACTACTACATAGTAGGATGGTTAAAATTTAAAATGACAACACCAAGTGTTAATAAAGATAGGAAGTAACTGGAATTCTCATACACAGCTGATAGGAGTGGAGAGAATTATATTAAGTGAAACAAGTCAGGCACAGAAAGAGAAATACCACACATTCTCACTTATTGGTGGGGGATAAAAATAAATAAATAAATTCATACATACACAAAAGAAAAAAAAACGGAGGGGAGAAGAAGACATAACAATTACAATTCCTTGAAGTTGATATGACAAGCAAACAGTAAGGACATTGTTGGGTGGGGGGGGGAGAGGGAGGAGGGAGGGAGGTTTCGGTAATGGGCCACAATAATCAACCACATTGTATATCGACAAAATAAAATTAAAAAAAAAAAAAAGAAGAGTAGAACCACCCCAGAAAATTGCTTGGTGGTTTCTCACAAAGTCAAACATATGAGGTAGGACTATTTTTGTCCCCATTTTACAGACAGAAAAACTGAAGCATAAAGAGCTGAAAGGGGCTGGCCCGTGGCTAACTAGGGAGAGTGTGGTGCTGATAACACCAAGGCCCCGGGTTCAGATCCCGTATAGGGATGGCCAGTTAGCTCACTGGGTGAGCATGGTGCTGACAACACCAAGTCAAGGGTTAAGATCCCCTTACCAGTCACCTTTTTGAAAAAAAAAAAGAGCTGAAAGGACTTGCCCACAGCTCTTATCAGAATCAGGACTTAGATAATGCATGTGAAAGTGTTTCATAGATTTCATATTTAGAAGGTGGTTATTTATTACTGTTATTATTATTTCGCATACCACAGACTGGCCAGGCTGCACAAGGGTAGCAGGCACTTGGACCTCCAGCAGGATGCAGCGGGTGCTAGGGTAGGCCTGGAAGGAGAGCACGACTTGGGCCTGGAGAGAGACTGTGAGCAACAGTCTGGTCAGGCCCAGGGGCATGGGCAAGGCCCTGGGGAGGGGCAGTTGGGCCAGCCGGTTTCTCCTCACCATTCCTAGGCTCCTCAAGCTCTGGGTCAGCTGCTCCTCCAAACTTTTCCTCATCTTCAGGCTCTTTCCAGTGCCCTGGAAGGACATGAAGCAAGCCTCAGGTCAGGCCTGCTGCTCTGGGCTGGCTTTGGGCTTGGCTTCCTTCTAGAAAGGCCAGGGCTGGGAAGCAGCAGCAAGGCCTGGAGAGATCAAGCTGGTCTGGGTGGTCCTTCAGCCACATCCTCCAAGAGAACACTGAGGATGCCCAGCAGATTCCCCAGTCCTCTTGCCCCCAGACATGCTTGCATGTGGATATGCAGAGTCACAGGATGCCTCACTCACCATGCACAGCCAAGTGGACAGCCACACGCACACAGAGGTCACAGTCTGTCTCCTGGTGGCACCTCAGCACCAGCTCTGTCTGCAGGCGTGTAGGGACCAGTATGGGGCCTACAGTGGACACGATACTCCCAGGCAGGCAGAGCATGTCACCTTCTGTGTGTGAAGGGTAGGGTGGGAGCTGTTCAGAACCCAGAGTTAGGTGTCACCTTACGCTCCCAGAGGGCCAGGGAGCTTGGCTTTTCCTGGGCCAAGGGTGGGTGGGGAGGGCATGGGACTGGGACAGCTCCCCTTGCTTCCACCAACCTTGGAAGTTGTTTTCTCTCTACAAGTAGGGATACTCACCCCAGAGGTGGCAGGAGAGGTCCTGGGAAGGAAGGCAAGAAGAGTCAAAGTTTATGCCCTCAAATCTAAGCACCCTTCACTTCCTGACCTCCTGCCCACCTCTTTCTGGGGCTCCCCATTCCAACCCCTTCCCAGAAGAAGACAGTCCCGTCTCTTGCCCCTTCACCCCCCCCGCCCCCCCCGCCCCCCCACAATCACCAGACAGACCAGCTGGGGCGGTTCTGACTGTGGCAGCAGTGACAGAAGCCAGGCTATGGCTTTGATGAGCCACAGACTGAACCCTGAGCTTTCCCCAATCTTCCCAGGGCCCTAGACTCACCCGAGAGCAGTGGACAGTGTCCTGAAGCCCCATAAGCCTCTCTAGAGAGAGGACCACAGGGCTTCGGCCCAGTGCCAAGGACAGCAAGAACCACGGCACAGGCATCTTCCAGGTGCCAGCAGCACCCAGGCCTGAGGCCCTGTCCTGCCCCCCCAAGGGGGGGGCAGACACTCCACCCCTGCCCCCACTCAGCCCCGGGTCTGTGGATGGCAGGGGCCAGAATTCCTAGGCAGCCTCCGGGGTCCCAGCGCTGGATAGCTTGCTCACTCCCTCTCCTGGGAGTCCTGACTCCCGTCCCAGTTCCAGCCGGAGTGCTTTCGTTTTGGCTCCCAGCAGGCAGCTGGCTGTTCCCGCCCCCACCCTATCCCTCCCACAAATACCAGGCCTAGGAGCCAGCAGACTCGGACTGGGGTGGTGGCCTCACCTCCTCCTTCTTGCCTCTCCTCCTCCTCCTCTGCTGACACCTGGCTGGGAGGGGCCCCTGGAGAAGGCTCTGGCCTGAGTAAGGGAGTTCTTACCCTGGGAGTCCCTAAGGAGGAAGGCTCCGACTAAGTGCATCCCAGGGACTGGGCAATCCGGGGGCATTTCTGCTTCCATGGGACCCTTAGACACAGACCCTGGGATCCTGGGACCCACTGGGTCCCCTCTTACTGGGCACCCAAGATCCCTTCACATACTTCTCTGGGCCTCAGTGACCCTTTGTGGGACAGGAGCTCTCAGACAGGGCCAAAAGGCACCAGAAAGTGGGCTTCTCACCATTGCCTGGCCTAGGCTCAAGTGTGGTTTGAGGGGGAAGGAACCCAGGTCCCAGAGCCCAGCAGACTGGGGTCCCATTTGTGCTGTTGCTGTGGGCTGATTGTGTGACAATGGACACAATACTTAAATTTGAATCTCTGTGTTTTCCTTTCTCCTCTCGGAAGAATCACAGCGAGGGTCAAGGAGATTGCAGGGTCCTCCTTTGCTTTTCAGAGGCATATGCTTGTGAGAATGTGAGGGATGCAGCTTCGGGTATGGACATGCAGGATTTGGGCCCACAAACTGCTGTGTAACAACCCCCAAACCCCAGGCAGCGTAGTGCTGACCCTCCCCCCAACTCACAGCCACACTAGAGAAGCACATTGTTCGCCTTTATTCATCTGTCTGGATCTTGGTCTCCTGCTCCTCCTCTGTCCTGGCCACCCAGCGCCAAAGGCTCTTTTCCTGGGTCCTGAGTCCTCCCTCCCTACCCCTCTGGGCAGGGCCTGGGTCTGGGAAAGGGAGATCCCTGGCTCCCAGGGGGGGTTTCTCCCAATGCCCCTGGAACCACCCTCCTTCAGGATTGACATAGCTCCACTCTTGCCCCAACCTCCCCAGCCTGGGCTGGAGAATGTGCAGACTGCTCTCTTTCTGGAGTTTCTTGGAGAAAGGAAGTGGGAAGAAGATCGCCCTTCCTCCATCAGAACGCGGCGGGGGGTGAGGGGGGCGGTTAGAGGGGCTCGCAATAAGGAATAACTCTCTTTCTAGAGATCCTGAGAAGCAGGGTAAGCATAAAGAGTAGGCCGGACATGCGTGGGCACTGAGCTGGGACTCCCGGGCTGGGAGGCAGGGAATAAGGCTTTTAGGCCAGTAGTCCTAGGCGGGCATCGTAACGATTCCAGGGTAGGAAGAAGGCCCCTGCGCTCTGAGGCGTAGACATCCGGGACTGCAGTGCAGCTCTGCTCAGCCTTGGTCTGCAAGTTTGGCGGCCTCGAGTTCAAGCCGGCGGCACAGCTCCAGGCGGACCCGCATGCACGACCGAGTCCCGAGGCAGCCCCAGTGAGTGGCTTTGGTGGAAGGCCGCGCGTCCAGAGCCCGCAGCAGGCGCGGCAGGTCGCGCAGGAGGCGGTAGCGCGGCAGGGCGCGCAGCGGCTGGGGGATGTCGCCCTTGGCGCAGAGGCGACTGAAGTAGGCCAGCAGCAGCAGCGGGCGGGGGGCAGCGCGGAGCAGGGCGCGCGCGGGAACGGCGCAGGGGTCGGGG